TTTTCGTTTCTCTTTATATACAGAAGATCAGTTTAGCATACATTAAGTAAAGATTTCAACAGTTTGCTCCCACACAGAAACATAAAGTGAAAAATACTGTTTGAGTACTGGTTATAGCATTAAATCTCAATGTACAGCACACTAAGGACAAAGATCCTACATGAGGAGTAAGTGCACAGTGACTCCTGTTGTTGACTTAACAAATTGACACTCTTGTTTATGGCCTCAGTAATCACCCTAGGCTCTTGTCATGAGCTGCCAAGGCTATGGAAGCCCCCTGAATTCACTGACTCTGATAATTTTTAGACAAGGCCATGGTCAAAGTGGAAGTTCTTTCCCCCCTTCAGAGAAAGGTACCTCCTTCTTTGATGACCTGTTCTTTCCACTGGGATCTCACTCGCGGAGATCTTCCATTTAGGTTTTTTTTCCCCCCAGAGTGTCTTGGCTTTCCATGCCTGAAATACTCTCATGGGCATTTCAGCTGGATCCGCATGCCTTAAGGGCTGATTATGAGGCCAGAGTGCTGTTTAGGACATCTGCCATTCTATGGGTCTGCTGTGTATCTCACTTCCCATGTTGGATTGTTCTCTCCCTTTTTTATTCTATCAGCTAGTATTTGCAGACACTATTCTTGTTTATGTCATCCCTTTGGTTCTTAGTCCTATCATTATGATCAATTGTGAACAGAAATTGACCACTGGGACTAGTGAGATGGCATTGGTACATGCCACCTTGATGGGATTGAATTGGAATCCCCTGGTATGTTTCTAAGTCTACCGTTTGAGGTAAGTCAGCTTGAGCATGTCCCGAATTGCACATCTCTTCCCTCTCTTATTCCCACTCTTATATTTAACTGTGATCACTTTTCAGTTAAGTTTCAGCACTTAACAAGAATTGTGTATTGATTACAGTATTCAACCAAACGTATTAAGTAGAACAAACAAAAAAAAATACTAAGAGGGATAACATATTAAGTTGCTCATCAACAGTCAGGGTGAGGGCTGATCAAGTCACCGTTTCTCATAGTGTTCATTTCACTTTAACAGGTTTCCTTTTTGGTGCTCAGTTAGTTGTCACCTATCAATGACCTGGACCTTAAATCTCTGACAGGATGGACAATAAGCCTTATCTGTCCTGTCTCAAAGCCCACAGTATTCAGAGCATGAGAATTACCCATCATTTTTATTTTGAAATTCCTATGATGGGCTAAATTCTCCATCTGCATCCTGAACATCCAAGTTTACTTTCTTTCTTACGTAATTCAAGTTTACTTTCTTACCTAATTCAAACAAATTCCCTTAGTCTTACCTCAATCTAAATTGTTTTCCTATTCTCTGAAGTAATCATGAATTTTGCTAGAATGAAGATCTTAAAACTTTTCCTTGCCAATACCCAAAGTCAGTTTCCTTTTGATATTCACATTGAAAATGTCTCCTAGTTTTGTACATTTCTCTAATGCTTTCATTTGTGTGTTGTTTGATGTTCTACATTTCTTTTATCAGAAAAAACAAAGTCTAAACACTGGACAGATTTGTGCTAGAATAAAAATGCTCTCTGCAGGGAGGAGAGGGATATGCACATGTACGCATGATAACAGCTCCCTTGTAACCAATCCTCAAATATCCTCTAGAGCAATGGCTTTACATATTATATTGGGGCTCAAATTCATTTTGGGAATTCCTCTGTTTGAACTAAGCTGGGGTGAGGCTGGAGGTGAGAGTGTTTATTAACCTGAGAGCTGGCTATGTTTGGACTGAAAAGGAACTGTCTTACTTGATCCAGCAAATATTTTTGGGATATAGATGATTGGTTGCTTGGTCAGTCTAACCATATGACCAAACCACCTTTGATGGATGTTGGCGGAAGTTGGTGAATGGATTCACTGAATCTCCTTTGTGTAAATATTATTCTATGCTATGTGTGACTTGCCAGCAAGAAGGACTTGGCAGATAGGCTCTAAGATACAGTCTTCATCCCTAAAGGAGTTTTTATAAGATAAAAACATAGGTTTTATCATTTATGAATGAAAGTATATAGAACTCCTACACATTAAATATAAAAATAAGTGGTATGAAAGACAATTTAAAAAATATTTATTTGAAAGGCAAAGTGAGGGGGTGGAGAGAGAGAGAGAGAGAGAGATTGACTTTCCATCCACTGGTTCACTCCCCAAATGAAACAACAGCCCTGTCTGGGTGAGGCCAGGCAGAAGTCAGAAGCCAAGAACTTCTAGATCTCCCACATGGGTGACTGGCATTCAAGGACTTGAGCCATCATCTGCTGCTTTCCAGGTGCATTTACAGGGAGTTGGATCAGAAGTAGAGCAGCTGGGACTCAAATGAGCACTCTGGTATTGGATATGGGCATCACAAGCAGTGGCTTAACTGGCTGCACCACAGCACTTACCTCTGTAAATCAATTATTTTTTAAAGGACATATTAAAATATCAGCTAGACCTGTAAGTGTGGTTGCATAAAATGTTACAGAACAAATAGCATAATGGATGGAAACATAGCATGGTATATTTTAGAATATAAGTTTACATGCTTTGTAGGGACATTGGAACAGTGTGTAGATACAACTCAATGGAAGAAAAATAGATGGTATCGTCTATTATCCTAGATAAAGGCTAAGGAAGACTTGATATACTTTTAAAATTTTTATTAATATAAATAAGACAGACTTCATGTATTTCATGGGTATAGTTCTAAGATGATAACCATACTTTCCTCCCTCCGCCTCTAACTCCCGTAGTCCCCGTTTCTTTTTTTCTTTAGTTTTGCAAAGACATAATTTCAATCCCATCTATAATCACAGCTTAATTCATCATCAACCATAATATTCAACAAGTAAAAGGTAGGGAGACCACAGTACCACCGGAGTATAAAGAACGGATAAAAGCAATAATCATATCACAAGATGTCCATTTCATTTGTACACATTTTCTATATTAACTGCTATATTTCAGAGAAAGCATCTGATATTTATATTTTGGGGACTGGCTCACTTGACTAAGTATGTTTCCAGTTGTATCCATTTTATTGTAAAAGACAGGATTTTATTCTTTTTATGGCTGAGCAGTATCACATAGTGTGTATGTATATGTACTACATTCTCTTATCCAGTCATCAGTTGATAAACATCTGGATTGATTCCATATTTTAGGTTTTTAATTTATTTTTATTTTTATTTATTTATTTTTTGACAGGCAGAGTGGATAGTGAGAGAGACAGAGAGAAAGGTCTTCCTTTACGTTGGTTCACCCCTCAATGGCCACTGTGGCCGGCGCACCACGCTGATCCGAAGCCAGAAGCCAGGTGCTTCTCCTGGTCTTCCAATGTAGGTGCAGGGCCCAAGGACTTGGGCCATCCTCTACTGCACTCCCGGGCCATAGCAGAGAGCTGGCCTGGAAGAGGGGCAACTGGGAAAGAATCCGGCGTCCCAACCGGGACTACAACCCGGTATGCCGGTGCCGCAAGGCGGAGGATTAGCCTAGTGAGCCGCGGTGCTGGCCATCCATATCTTTGGTTTTATGCATTGAGCTGCAGTGAACAAGGAGGTACAGCTAACTTTCATAAGCTGATTTCATTTGGTTTGTGTCAACTCTCAGGAGTTTTGGGATGGCTGGGTCATGAGTTAGATCTATCTTTAGATTTCTGAGGAATCTCCATTCTGTCTTCCATAATGGTTGTACTAGTTTGTATTCCTACCAACAGTATAGGGTACCTTTTTCCCTACATCCTCACCAGCATTTGTTGTTCCTTGATTTTTAGATGATAGCCATTCTAATTGAGATGAGGTAGAACCTCACTGTGGTTTTGATTTGTATTTCCCTGATGCCTAGTGTCCTGAGCATTTTCCCATCTGTCTGCCATTTGTATTTCATCCTTTGAAAAATATCTGTTCATATCCTTCACCCATTTCTTAAATGATTGTTTTGTTGTTGTTGAGTTTCTTAAGTTCTTCTTAGAACCTTGATATTAATCCATTATCAGTTGCATAGTTTGCAAATATTTTCTCTCATTCTGTCAGTTGCCTCTTCATTTTGTTGAGGATTTCCTTTGTGGTACAGAAGCATATTAGCTTGATATAATCCCGTTTGTCTATGTTTGCTTTTATTACTTGTGCTACTGGGGTCTTTTCCAAGAAGTCTTTGCCTATGCCAATGTCTTGCAGAGTTGCCCCGATGCTTTCCTCTAGTAATTTGATGATATCAGGCCATAGTTTAATAACGTTGATCCATTTTGAGTTGATTTTTGTATAGATGTAAGGTAAAGGTCTTGTTTAATAGTTCTGCATGCATAGATCCAATTTTCCCAACATCATTTGTTGAAAAGACTGTTCTTTCTTCAGGAATTGATTTTAGCTCATTTGCCAAAGATTAGTTGATTGTGGTAGTGTGGATTAATTTCTAGTTTCTATTCTTTTCCATTGGTCTACTTGTCTATTTTTGTGGCAGTACCAGGCTGTTTTGATCATAACTCCTCTGCAGTATGTCTTGAAGTCTTGTATTGTGTCATCTCTGGCTTTGTTTTTGTTATTTAAGATTGCTTTAGCTATTTGGGATCTCTTATATTTCCATATGAATTTTAGCATTGTTTTTTCTAGATCTGAGAACAGAGTACTTGATATTTATTCAAACAATAGGCAACTACTGAAACATTTAAAGTCCTAGTTCTGTGCTAAACTGTGGGGAGAACACAAATAGGTGAGATGTAGTTACTGACCTCTCATAGAATTTAGACCTGGTGTAGACATCATATCAGACAACAAACACAGGACAGAAGAGCATATAACCGCATGCTAAGCTATGTAGTATGGACTTCAGGTGCTGAGGAAATCAGGAGGTGAGGTTGGTCTAGAAGAATGGAGGTGGGCATTGGTGCAGTTTGAAGTGAGAAGGACCCAGTTTTGTCCAGAGACAGTGTGCCACTTGTACACTTCTCAATTCTTTTTGCTCTGCCTTTCTTCACTTTAACTTCCAATGCTGTGCATTTGGCTGTTGTTTTTTTTTTTTTTTTTTTTTTTTTTGCCATTGGCTGCCATCATGAACACTTTCTTGGTATTTTGGACCTTGAATAACTTGGGCTCCAGTTAATTCTCGAGTTCCCTTGTTAGTTCCTTGGGTTAGATGGACTTAAGCGAATTACTCAAACTCAGTCACTCTCCCTGTTTACTGACATGGATAAACATGACAAGTCTCATGGCCTTTAGTATTCATGGTTCATGTCTAAATTGGAAATCCAGGTCAGGTTTCTAAATGGCTTATTGAGTTCTTTCCTCCTAGGCCGTTAAAATCAGCAAGTGTGAACTACACTGGTCAAATTTTTATATTCTACATGTAGTTCATTGTAATATAGCAGACCCAGCTTCAATTAACTAATGTTCTCTGCAGTGGGAGGGGGTCATTTTGTGAGTGAATTTGAATGCCTGCATAGATCAGCATTATTGTTAATCACATCTACACTTTCATATATTTATATGCACACTCACAAGTGCAAAGATGCATTTTCAAACTTAATTAAAAATAGAAAGCAACTTAAAGTGTGCTGGTATTTCCCCTGACTTCAGCATGATCTACCACTTTGACAAAATTTCATAAATCTCTTGCAATAGAAAATTCTACTGCACAGAACCATTTTATGCAGCAATATAGGTACTTAAAATATTCAACAACTTTCATCATGTTTTGCCTCTTGGTACATGGGATTTTTATGTATTTAATAGTTACATATGTTATATATTTTAAACAGTATTTTTTACTAATGGTCCCCAACAGTACATTTTTCTGAAACTCCAACATCTGTGTTTTGTTCTTGCAGCTTATGATGATAATCTTAAATTGAGCCCATCCCACCACAGAGGAGGGATCAGTGGTGGTTTTTATTTTCATGGTGGCTGGATCCCATGACAAAGGTGTCAAACATTATCAACTCCTCGTGACAGAAATGCCTGTTTTCTCATTTTTTGAAAGGCAGTTCTGGATCTGGCATCTGAGCGTCTCCTGCTGTTGCCATGCTTGCAGCAGGTACACAGAAACTCAGAGGAGAGGAACCGTGGGGAATGTTCATTTGTTATTTATTTATAAACTTGCCGTGCCACATCATGTAAAATTAACACCTTTAATGGGCTCCTGCCTCAGTTGCTTGAAGGATGGGCTTTCACCAGCCAAGGCCACCTACCAGCTTCCAGGCAGTGTTGCTGCGTGTTTGCATTGGGCTGCTTGCTTCACAGAGTCCACCTGCTAAAGTCATCCTTGTGCTCAGCTGGTCAGCAAAGGTCTGCCCCATTAGAGAGGATGTTCAGGAAGTGGAATCTTTGGGGCATTTGTGGCTGAAGAGGTGAATGATTAGTATGGAGCTAAATTCCCTTCTTTTGTTAATGAAGAGATTTACTCCAACATTCATTTATTATACATTGGGGGGTGGCTTCTCCCATGTGCCAGCATCCGGAGGGTCCCTTTCCTGTAAGAGTTCATAAATAATCCAAATTTACAATGAAAAGGTTTCATAAGCATTATCTTTGCCTGACATAAAAATTCCCTCATGCTTCTAAGGGAAGACCATTATAATTTGCAGATAAAGATTCTGGAACCAAAATGACTTTATGCTTAGAGAGTAGATGCAAATATTTGGGAATTTGGAGAAAAATCTTACCTGCCCAGCAGATTGAGTCCACTTTAATACTTAAAGTTTTGGTCTAATCTTATAGCATTATTCAAATACAAATAATGTCAGGGGGCAGGCATGTTAAGTCATTCAACAAACATTTATCACTTACCCTGTGCTGGATCCTGCATTTGGTAGATACATTGGCTCTTAAAGTGCTTATAATGTAATGGAAGACAGAAACAAGTGGCAGATAATTAAAATCCAACTTAAAATATTGTAAATGAGGGCTAGCCCTCAGTGCTAGTGAAATGCAGAAAAGAGAGGAATTAATGGTGCCTGAAGAAATCAGAAAGACTTAATAGAGATGATATTTGAGACCAAGGAATGGATAAACAGTTATCAAGATGAGAAGAAAAAACAATCCCAGGTAGTTTTCAAAGGAGCAAATGGACACACAACAATAACAACATGCATTTGAGTGCCTGCTAGATACCCATTGCTGTACAAAGTGCCAGGTTTTGTGGGAAGTGTTTTAGACATTAGGTAGTTCAATATCTCCAAAGAGTACTATAATCAGTGTCTTATGTGCAAGAAAATAGATGAAGGCCCAAAAGGTTACAGAACCTCCCAATTCTGGGATTCAAACATAATCTATCTACTCTCCAGCCATTGCCCTTGCCTTGACCCTGCAGCATTTGTAGCTGCATTTCCCCAGAGCTGTATAAAAGCTTCACCTGTTGGGAGGAGAGCAAGACTAATATGGCTGTGAGATGAGAGTCAAGAGGTGCATGGAAGGCAGGTTGTGGCCAGATTGTGAGAGCTTTGAGTGCTGTAAGAAGGATGAACTCCATCCTTTATCCTGTAGGCAATGGGAGTTTTCTAAACATGTGTGTGTGTGTGTGTGTGTGAGAGAGAGAGAGACAGTGAGAGAAATTTGTATTTCAAAAAGAAAATGAGGAGGGTAATAGAAACAGGTGGGTGTGAGGGGAATCTTTCTGTGAGCTATAACACAGGCATAAACCTAGGCCTTCCATTAGTTGTCATAAAGAAAGCTTCCCTTAGGATTTAAGAGTATGCAAGGATTTCAAATTTTTTGCACCAAAATAAACTTATATTTCAATTCAATTTCCATGAACTCTTAAGAATTATTTATTTATTTGAGAGGCAGAGAAAGAGAGATTAACACACACACACAGAAGTTTTTCATCTACTGTTTCACTTCCAAAATGCCCACCATGACTGGGGCTGAAGCCAGGAGCTGGAAACTCAAGCCAAGTCTCCCACATGGGTGCAGGACTCCAATTACTTGAGCCATTACTGCTGCCTACCAGCGACTGCATTGGCAAGAAAGTGGAGTCATGAGAGTAAGCTGGGAATTGAAGACTCCAATGCGGGATGTGGGCATGTCAATCAGCAGGCAACATGACTGCACCCTCCACGAATATATAGACTTTGGAGGTACATGCACCTGAAAATTACTAACTATGGAATATTTGCCAAATGATTTAGTTTCCCTTCACACAAACACAATGTAAGCTTCAGTCTCTTTACCTACAAAAAGAGGGTCTCTCACATCAAACTGTTGTGAAGATTAAATAAGACATTAGTCCATGTAAAAACATTTCTCTGGTACTTAGATCACTGCAGATTCCTAATTATTGCACAGCTATTATTCTGTGAATACCCTCCAAGGAAAGTTGCCTTATTAGCCTATCCAGTGAGTTATTCATGAAGGGTCTGTGTGGGTGGGGCCTTGGATACTCACACAGTATTATACATTGTGTGACATGTAGAAGGGAAATGTAGGAAAGTCACAAAGATCTACAGCATTTTCCCAGAGCTAAGTATAGAAACTGAAATGGTGCTCAGAGGGGGATGGAAATGAGAAAACCCAAACAAGATTGAGGGCAGGCTCTCCTTCTCAAAATGGTATTTGAGATGAACTTTGGAATACACGAATGAATCTGGGTAGTATTATACTTGTTTTAATTAATGCTAACATTTAGTTCTTTTTTTCCTCCATTCACTGTGATGGTATAAAATGGATCTATCTGAAGGGAAATATTAGATAATAGTGCAGGTGATACATGGATACAGCAAAAGCTGTGAATATGATCTGAAATTGGGAACCTTTGACATTAAAGAATGTGGCTTTCTCCTGGGCAGAGGCCTCATTTGGGGCACAACCCTTTCCCTGGTCAGTGATGCAATGCCTGGCAGAACGGTTGCTCCAAAGATGTTTGCTTAATGGGACAATGTGTCCTCTGGTGCTCTGGGAGCACTTCAAGTTTTAGCACCAATCCTAGCATGGTATTCTCATTTTAGAGCCCTCTCTGTCCTTCCACAGGGACGTTTCCACTAACCATAAAGCCTCTAAATGCCTATAGGCTATACTGTATACTTGCTGAGTTTACACTGAATGCATGAAGGAAGTTTGAGATTCTGCATGGTTTTCAGTCAGGGTCCCAATAAAATGACTAGGAGCATGAGCTGAGAATCACATAGACCTGGGTTCAAGTCCTCTGTTCACTAACAATAGCCACTTAATCTTGACTAATTCATTTAACAGCTCTGAGACTTAGATTTCTACTCTGTAAAATAGCAATCTAATGATAAAAGCAATAAAATAGCAATCTAATGATAAAAGTACCTATGATGAACACTAGTTCATGAAATAGTGCAAAAAGTTTATGAAAGCCATACCTACGAGGGTGTCTTCAAAAAAATTCATGGAAAGCATGTTGTGAAACAATATTTTGGGATCTCAGTATTTTTTGCACCAAAATGAACTTTAACTCAATATTTTCATAATTTTTGAAGTACCTTTGTGTAAACGAAGGGAGATACTTCCATAGGGCTTATCAAAAACAATTAACAAATATTTATGATTATCAAGGAAGTATCATGCTAACTATGATGACAGGAATATTGTGGCTTTTTTAGGTACAGTGCACAATTTATGTCTGCTTTGGGAGAGAGTAGATGGTTCATGCATTGCCTAGCACAGGGCCTGGCATGTTAACGTTTACTTGATGAATGGGTCAATGAATGAACCTTGGAAGAGAAAGTCCAGGGAGCTAATTTTAGGCGATTTGGAGACATTCTGGCAAACAAGCTTTATACACAAGATGGCTTGTGTTGGCTGAGTGAAAAGTAAACGTCCTCTCTCCTTTTAAAGGGTGGTAGGTTGTCAACAGGCACATCAGCCCATGTCACCTTTGCTTTTTACATTACCTGGGGTACTTTATGTAAACAAGAATAGGAGTAGGGCATCTCTTTACTGAAATTTCACCAGGCTTCCTTCTGACCCTAGGCTGCTAACTCCTCTTTCCCTAGAGTATTTTACTTAAGTGAATTTATAATTGTAACTTCATTCTCTAGCCCTTTGAGATGCAAATCTACAGCTCAAAAGTATCTTTCTCAAGGACTTGTTATCTATCTCTTTGAAATGTAATCTGGAAGGAGATAATACCCCTATCTCCCAGTCTCTCTGGGAAGTTAGGAGCCTAACTTTGTTTTAAGGGATAATTAGGAAATGGCCTAATCACATTGACCATCCTCCCCTTAATGTCCTCTAGTACTTTTCCATTAGCTCAACCCAGAGTTAAAAACTGTCTTTTTTCGGTTGAGCAGAGTTCAATGTCTCCCCTATTGCGATGGCCGGAACCCTAATGAGATAAAGTCTTCCTTGGTATTTTTAGCAAGTGTCTGGAGCACCTTCTCTTTTACAGTTCCAGGAATTCAGAAAGGGAGGAGAAGATGAATCCCGTGAATTTGCTGATTCTCATTAACGTGGACGTGATACCCATCACAATCAATCAGTCCGATCCCACAATGCCCAAAGCCTTCTGACACTGAAGTTTCATAATCAATTAATGAGAAAGACGGGGTGTGGATTTCTCCTTTTTTAATCTACCCTAAAGAGGGCGGTGATAAACCTCAGGCTGAAGACGCAGCCCTGTGGGGTCAGCCAATACAGAATTAATCCTGTTCAACTTACTCAGCCAAGGCTTGAGTAACATGATTTTTTTCAAAAAGCATACTATTCTAAGAGTTAAGTAATGAGTCAGAGAATCTGAGCTGTAACAAGAAAAGGAGTTTGGAGTATCTTTGCCAACTTGGGTTCAGTGAATTCTGGAAATGGATCAGATAATTGATTTTTACCTATTTATTTTTAGCATATTGTTCACATTCAACTTTTTGCTAAAATCATGTAAGTTTTGAGGGTCACAACACTCTTTTCCCTAAAAGCCATAGGTTCTGCTTCCACAATGCATTTGCTGTTAGCCATGACGACTCTTGCCATTTTATTTGTCTACATCCCTCCCTGGGGTGAAGAATCTGCCTTATTCATTCTGTGTATCTCCAGTGGGGTTGCTAGACCCAGAATAAGTGCTGGATAATACTTTCTGAAGTACTTACATATAAAGATTAGCAAAAATTCAAGTTGAGTCTACAAAGTGAAGAGGAATATGGGTGTGCCTCCAGCGATAGCATGTGATACACAGATTTAATATCAGATGCTAGCAGCAACCACAATAAGGGAAAAAAAATTCTCCCTAGCACTTTGTACCATTAGCTAAGTCTTACTAAGCCTTCTCATGCTCCTGCAAATCAGAAAAGTACTAGTTGTAGATTTTTCTAGATGCCAAGATAGGACCACTCTTTTGACCTTAGGATTCTGAGAGCTCCTAGAAAATGTACTTAGAGGCTATGTTTTGGGAGTACAGGTTAATCAGTGTGATGTTGACCTAGTAAAGAAAGAGACCCATTTTTATCAGAATGGCGAGACATACCTATGGATCTTGACACTCTATTTGGCTATTTTCTGAGCCATTCCTGACCACCATGCTTCATATGGCCCATGCCTACTGGCCTGAGTTCTAGAGGAGGAGCACAGTTCAGTTGCCTGAAGCATTCTTCCCTTTGCTCTCCTGGCTCCTTTCCTGTCATCATCCATCCCTTCACTTATGTAATACTTACCCCTGCGTTGCATTCCTTTCTTTCCATAGACTCTGGTGTTCTCCAGTCAGTACATTGAAAAGCAGCTGCTTTGTACAACATGAGTTGGCCATCCCTGCTGAGAAAGAGCACACAATTTTCAGCTGCTATGGCTGTGTTTCCCCTCCTATGTATAGGCTGTCTTGGCTGCTGTTCTGCATGTCTAGTTTAAATGCTCTATGCCCTGGGCAAGGTGAGAAAGGGTTTTATGTGTGTGTGCACCTGTGCCTGAAAGTAATACTTGGATTTGTACTTGCAATGTTTCTTTTTTTTTTTTATCTTTTATTTAATGAATATAAATTTCCAAAGTACGACTCATGGGTTACAATGGCTTCCCCTCCCATACCGTCCCTCCCACCAACAACCCTCCCCTTTCCCACTCCCTCTCCCCTTCCATTCACATCAAGATTCATTTTCGATTATCTTAATATACAGAAGATCAGCTTAGTATACCTTAAGTAAGTATTTCAACAGTTTGTTCCCACACAGAAACATAAAGTGAAAAATAATAGATGATTTTTTTTAAATGATGATGAAATCAGATCAGACCTATTGTCATGTTTAATCCCTAATCCCAGTGAGAGTCAAGTTGGGAATTGAAAATTTCTTTTTTTTTTTGTTTTTTGTTTTACAGAAGATCAGTTTAGTGTACATTAAGTAAAGATTTCAGTCGTTTGCACCCCCATAGAAACACAAAGTGAAATATACTGTTTGAGTACTCGTTATAGCATTAAGCCTCAGTGTACAGCACGTTAAGGACCGAGATCCTACATGAGGAGTAAGTGCACAGTGACTCCTGTTGTTGACTTTACCAATTGACACTCCTGTTTATGGCATCAGTAATCTCCCTATGCACCAGTTATGAGTTTCCAAGGCTATGGAAGCCCCTTGAGTTCTCCGACTCTTATCTTGTTTAGACACGGTCATAGTCAAAGTGGAGGTTCTCTCCTCCCTTCAGAGAAAGGCACCTCCCTCTTTGAAGACCTGTTCTTTCCACTGGGATCTCACTCACAGAGATCTTTTTGCCAGAGTGTCTTGGCTTTCCATGCCTGAAATACTCTCATGGGCTTTTCAGCCAGATCCGAGTGCCTTTAGGGCTGATTCTGAGGCCAGAGTGCTATTTAGGACATCCGCCATTCTATGAGTCTGCTGAGTATCTCACTTCCCATGTTGGATCACTCTCTGTACTTGCAATGTTTCAACATCTATGGCACTGTCCCAGTTCAACATGCTTGGTGGTTGTTAGGTGTCTTCAATTTGATGAATGAGTGGTTAAAGCAAATATTAATGAGTCAGTACTTTTACAAAGATTTCACCGGGTAGTACTGATTTTTTTTTTTTTTTTTACAAACAATGTGATTGATTCCCTGAGTTCTAAGTGTTCTTTTGGATCAAATTCTGCCTGTACTGATAAAAATGTACCACAGGAGTGAATACCACTGCACTTCTTTATTTGAGAGAGATAGCAATTCAAGACCTGAACTATTGAGGATAAGGGAGTTTGGTAAACTGGCAGGCTCCTCAGTAAGTGGCTGGTGTTTCAGTGGAGAAAAGCACAGGACTTGGTGTGATGGGAAAGATCTTATTTGATCTGATGCGTGTTCTCCAACTTCTCCAGTATCCCTGGTAAAGGATCCCTTCCTTTAACACACCTTCTTGTTTGTGGAGCCTTAGTGCCGCCTCCTCTTTCTAGAGGTCCCTTCTAGATGCCTCTGTAGAACACTGATGGTATGTCCATTCTGGCACAAAGAGTGCTAGATTATAATTGTGTATTAACTTCCCGGTCTCTTCACAGGACTATGAATGCTTTTCAAAGCAGAGGTTGTATCTTATTGGTCTTCGAATCCACAGAAGCTGGCACAGTTTCCTGTTTCAAGGTTAGCATGGCTTGAGTCCATTTTTAAAAGATTTATAAACAGAAACATATTATTTTAATTCAACAGTAGATTTGCATATTTAAAGGCTTTAATAATATTAGGACATTTAATTATCAAATGTTGAAGTTAAAAAATTAATAATGTTTTGTAAATCTCAAGAGTTTTTATAAAATAGAGAAAAATCATTCATGTTTGATTCTTCTTATAAATTTTAGCTGCAATTTTAAACTTTCTCCAATGGATTTAAGATTTATGAATAGTTTTGTCAAATTTGCCTTCTAAAATTCCTCCTGAGACTAAAAATGTGTTATATCTATGATAGGTGTGGAAAGAACTGTCATGTTTACAGTTTTTGTCTTTCCAGTAGACATGTAATTGCTCTCACCAACTATAAAGATCTCATTCTCCTGAAATGTTTGGAAATTTTCTTTACTAGGATTCTTCCCAGGTATGTTGTTTCTCATAATTTTGGGTTCTGACTCAAAATATCATGGTCCCAAATATTCAGGATGTTGTCCTCACCACCCAGTCACTGAAGTGCAGTGTCTTGGTGTCTTGCTTCCTTCTCCCCATCTCTAGTCTCCTGTGGAAGTGCTCCAGAGGACTCTAGAGAAGGTTGGGAAGAAGCTTCAGCAGTCCACACTGTGGGGGGACTCCTGTTCTTCCATCCTTGTTCTACTTAAGATAAATTGAAGATCAATTATCAGTTACCCTGCTCCTGGATTGTTGTCTTAGTGAACAAGGGCAGGATCTATGAAGTGAATAACTTATAGGATGAAGATTAACAACTCCCTCTCTATTATCAGAGCTGAGAAACAATGTGAATAAAGAGTGGGCAGAAAATTGATATCCCGGGTCTGGTATTTGGCTTAGATATCACGATGCTGGTTAAAATGCCAACATCCCACCTTGGAGTACCTATGTTCAGATCCTAGTTCTGCTCCTGATTCAAGCCTCCCACTAATTTGGGAGCAGTAGTGATGGCTCAGTAATGGATTCCTGGTACTCACATGGAAGATCTGGATTGAGTTTCTGGTTCCAGCTTTATCCCCCAATCTGGGGCTATTGTGGGCAATTAGAGAGTGAATCAGTGGATTAGAGATTTGTGTGTGTGTGTGTGTGTGCACACGCACATGTGTATTGTGTCTGCCTCTCAAATAAATAAATTAAAATTGGTTCCCAATTTGATATTCTGCTCTAGTGTATGTCCTCAAATGTTTTCTATAATGTATAGATCTGATTTTTCTCTTTTTTTAAAGGAAGGAATCATTTCACAAAATGGATTCACTTACCAAGTAAGTACAAATACTAATGGCACTGTCAAATCTCCCTTTTAAACACTTTTTATTATTTATTTTAATTTTTATTTGAAAGGCACGCACATGCACATGTGCACACACACACACACAAAACAAAGGAGAGGAAGACTGAATTGATCTTGCATCTGCTGTTTCATTCTCCAAATGCCCACAACAGATGAGGTTGGGACAGGCTGAAGTCAGGAACCTGAAACTCAGTCTGGGTTTTTGTTGTTGTCAGGGACTAAGGCCTTGAGCCATCATCTGCTACATTCCCAGAGTATACATTAGCAGGAAGTTAGATCAGAGGTAAAACCAGGACTCAATATAGGCACTTTGATATGGGATACAGGCAACCCAACTCTCATCTTAACTATTGCTCCAAATGCCAACCCCTAAATTTCACTTTTTTTCAAAGATTTTAAGAGGTTATTGGATAACTCAGATGAGACTGCTGAAATGAGTCTAAACTGCTAGGTTGTACACTGTGACCAAATAAACAGTTGTACCTTTAGGTCACTTGAAAAAAAAATTTTTTTTTGCTTTGTTAGATAGTAATGACCAACTGGTCCACGCTACTTATGGTCAGTCACCTCTGATAGCCTACATGAAGACATTACTTGGGAAGCAATGATAATTGAGTAAATGTTTGTTGAATGAACAATTAAATGAATGAAAAATGAATTAATTAGTGAATGAAACAATAGATTCTTTTTTTAATTATTCAAATTCCCGGCTAAAAAAGTCCACCTTGGTTCTGTGAATGCTGATTTTCTCTTCCACTGCTGTATCAGGTGGTACATCCATTTCTAATGCAGCAATTGCGTGGAATTGTGCTTGTTTCATTAAGTTAGGAGCAGTTTGGGGCTAGGATCATTTACTGTTCATATCTATGTCCCCAGTGCTCATGCACTCAATGCTCCCAAAGATTAATTCTTTGGAAATTTAGAAATCTGAAGTTTTAATCTTTGGAGATTGAGTAGCAGCTCTAGAACAGGTTGCAGTGATTCTAAATGCTGACTGAAAATTAAAGTAATCTGAAGATTTAAAAAAGATCAATGGCCAGACTAATTCCAGCAATTGACTCAAATCTCTGGGGGATAAAACCAGGCAAGGCTAATGTGCAGTCCGGGTGGGGAACCTCTGAGTTTAAATGTCCTCAAAGTTTATTAGTATTTAAATGGCAAAATGATCCTCTCCATCAACAAAGAAACCTATTAGGAAATAATGCAGTATCAGTAAATATTCTAATTTTCCAAGTTAAAACATGAATGATAATTGAAGTGCTAAATCTTATATTATAACATAAATGCATGAGTCTATGTAATTGCACAGAACAATACATAACAAAATTGTGTTGTTTATTGTTTGATATAGGGTTATCTGTTTTATTTTTCCTTTCAATTTTTATCAAAGGAATAATATAGTTCTTATGTTTTTTTTTATTTTTGACAAATATCAATTTCATTTTTCCATTTCTTTTTCAATCAAGAATTTTAAGATATTTTAGTATTCATTCCTTGGTGTTGATTTTGAACATTTTAAATGACTCATTAAATTGTTTTCATCTAACAATAGCTCATTTAGAACAAATCACTCAAGATCATCTTTCACATGAATATTTACACTGGAATGTCTTAATTTGACAACATTAAGCTCTGTATTCTTATTTCTTAAACAACCAAACATATTTATAGATTGATTTTAATGCATTTTTTTTCCTACTTGAATTCACTATGATTAAAAGTTCACAGCCTTGGTTACATTATATAATTTGAGAAATAACCAACAATGTCCCTAGTGATTAAATATTCAAGTTTGCAATTATTTTGTAACTTTTGTTCTGCTCTTCGCTCACTCTAAAAATTATCATAAAATTTTGAAAGATGTCCTCAGTGTAGAATAT